AACTGTTGCAAGAAAGGTTGTAAAATGGAGTAAAATTTACTTAACAAATGTTTCACTTAGCAACAAATGTTGGGCTCAATTATAGTTATAAGTCAAGGGCTACTTGTATGCATTGGAATCAGTAATTTTCAGTGCTGTTATAACTTTGGTCACTAAATGAGCTGTTGTAAGTTGAGGATCACCTGTATTTTCTTGAATGTTATGTTTATGTCAACATAAACTTACTGCTTCTTTAAAGTACTGTCAGTTACAAAAGGTTTCCATAACAGATCCCAAGTATCTTTGCCTGCTTCAAACTAAATACAACATACTTCTAAATAATGGCATAATGGCATCTTAAGGCAAAACCCAGCATATGGATTTCTCACTTAAGTTTTTCCTTGCTTTCTCAGCAGAATGTTTGATCAGAGTTTCAAAAATTTGAGCATGTCCCTCTCAGCTGCTAAGAAGAGCTTGCAGGGATTTGATGAGGATGATGTAGCTCTGGTTGATGCATTTGAACCCCAGGAGCTGATGCTGAAAGTCCGATGCCGAGCTGATATCTACAAAATCTGTATTCTAATGGTGTGAGGCTTTGGTATTTGATATCTTATCTCTATTCACTTCCCTTTGCTATCATAATGTGGGCTTTTTTTCTTTTTCCCGTGCTTGTCTAAGAATCAATCCTAACATCTGCAAGAGAGACTGGTTTTTTTATTAGCTTTAACACAAGAGACAGCCATCTTGGGTTTTGGAATCTTATTTTTCACTGTTGGATATTCCCCAACTAATAGATGGACCTTTGTATACAATCCTGCCTAAATCCATCCATTCTGTAACAATGAAACAAAATGATGGGCAACAATTTTTGAATTGGGAAGTAATGTCACTGAGGAGGATCTAACATCTTTCTCAGAATCCTATTCTATTCTATTCTCTTAATCTTACTCTCTTAAAACTATTATTTATTACTGTTTTTAAAATAACAGAAAAAAGACAAAAGGAACAAAACAAAGATAATGGTGATAGAAATACATTATCAAATTAAAAAGTGCATAAGTGCTTTAGAAAACAACTAAAAAGGAAATAAAGTATAACATTACAATAGTAAACAGTTTCAATTCTGTGCATTTATCTAATGCAAATATGCAAGTATGTTCATATTATCTTTGATCCACTGGGTTCCTGGTGACATGTATTTATTGTCCCAATGCTGCAGTATCGGTCTTGTAGCTGTGGTTAAGGGTAGAGAGAATCCTTGTGCTCTAACACAGCTACTTAACTTCATCTTTTGTAGACAGAGCCTCTTCAGCGAGTGGTTGACCGCATGTCACAAATACTGAAGGTTCATCCAAGTAGAATCCTGCTCCTGCATTATGATAGTGAACTTTCAGTTGATGCTACTCCTGCTAAGTTGGACCTTGGCGTTGCTGACATCATCGGTAAATAGTTTAGGAACTTTTTTTTTTTACTTCAGATCATCATTACTTCCAATCTCATTGTTTTAAATTCCTCAAACCTTTTGCCTCCCAAATGAACTAAACTTCTGTACTGTCCAATATTTTACAGCTATTTTCTTGTGTTCTCCCTACTATATTATCTAAACCAGTTTTTTTTTTCAAAATTAGAACTACTGCAAGGTTTGGGAGATACTAAATTCTAATCTCCCTTCAGCTACATACTCTTATTGTTGTGGCCCAGCTCTACCTTTATGGGGCAACTGATGAGGATAATATTGGGGTAAATCATTATTTTGCTGTTTTGAACTCCATGGAGAAAAAATAAGATAAATGTTCTCTGTTGGCGACTTCCAGATTGTATAGTGGAGACCAGTAAACAACAGGCTGATGATCCTGGAACCCTGTTGCTTCGGGTACAAGGAAAAGACAGAAGTTCTGTGATGGAGATTACAATCCAGAAGGTAAAGGAACTAAGATCTGGATTGTAGGATTTCTTTTGTGAAGAAGCATTACAATATTGTAATTATGTTTCCCTTTTTGTAGGGGGAGCCCTTAGAAACCCTTATGAATCAATACAAAGAAGCTCAAGGTCTTGGCAGATCAAAAGTTGTCTTCTATTTTGATGGGCAGCGTTTGACAGAAACTCTGACCCCTGAACAATTGGGGATGGAATCTGGTGATGTTATTGAAATGTGGAACTAGCATCCTTGCATTTGCAAAGAATCTATGTTTAGAATTGATTATTTTTTTTATATTTGCCCACTCTTGAGTGACTCACCTGTATTCAGTGTGATATTTGGTATTTATCCATAGTATTTGATATTAGTGACTCGCTACTTTCCTTGATTTAATTTTCACTGAATCTGATATCTAAGTGAGAAATGGCAGTTTAATTTTTTGAGAAAATAAACACATGACGCTTTTCACTTTATTATCTCCTATACTCAAAATTTTGAATAATATTTAATTTTGTTAACTGGTTCTGTTACTTGTAGACAAACTTTGTAGAGGAATAAAGATGGATATTAAGAGAATACTATGTTCTTAATAATTCTTCAATAAATATTAATAACACTATAACAAAAATTATTTGCCTATCCCAGGTTCTTGGGAAGGATTTGATAGGTGGATAAAGATGCCAAACGCAATCTAAATAACTAGCTGACTTCAACCAACCGTAATAATACAAAGACTGCACAACAGAAGAGAAAGAACACGAGCGTATCCAAAATATAAAGTCCTGTAAGGATAAATAAAACAATAAAAGTAAGCAAAGATATGACTAATAGTAATAGCAATAAGACTTATATATCGCTTCACAATGCTTTACAGTCCTCTCTAAGCAGTTTAGAGTCAGCATATTGCCATCAACAATTTTTGTCCTCATTTTGCCAACATCAGAAGGATGGAAGGCTGAGACAACCTTGTGCTGGTCAGGATTGAACTGCCGGACTGCTGGCAGCAGGGAGTCAGCAGAAGTAGCCTGCACTACTGTATTCTAGCCACTGCACCACCACTGCTCATAATAGATACCTTGATTGCAATTCCAAAACCAGGAACATCACTTGAATACTACTGGCATTAACAAAATCACCAGTCAATTGGAAAAAGCATCTTGGAATAGCTTACATCCTTGGAATAGCTTACATCCTGTGACAATATTTTAATATTACACAACATCTGTCTATTCTTGGGAAGGACTGTAAGTGGAGAAAAATGCCAAATCCAGTCTAAACAGCTGGCTGTTTAACCAATCATAATATGAAAAACAAAGCAGTACAATCCCAATATTACATTTTCTTAACTTTCCATGCTATTAATAACCAGTATAATCACATCAATTAGAAAATTTTGGACTATGTTTCCCAAATTGCTCAATAGATCTAATTCTCCTGTCTTGGATAAACGTGTTTCCATTTAGGTGCTTTCTTTTACTTATTTCTCATAATCCCCAAGCATGGTGATTTGGAGTTCAACACAACTGAAAAAATATCTCATTGTGTAGAGCTGAAATCCTAGTAATTCCACAGGGATACATTTGTTTTTCTTGACAACGCTATCGAAATGTTACCGTTATGTTGACTTTTTTCTAGTTTAGTCACTGAATCCCGATATTTTCTAGTAGATTCCCACAGAAGTGCTAATCAGTTGACCATCCTTAGCTTGTCAACAGCGCTGATCAGGTGCTGGCCTCCAATAAGGCATGGGGAGAATACCAACTTGGAAGAAAATCTGCTTATGCTCAAAATTTATCTACGTAGTGATTGGTACTGTGCTCTTGAATAAAACAGCTGATATTTTTAAAGAAAGGTAAATCATTGCATGTAGAAAATGTTTTAATTTATGGACAGCTAATAACTGATGTTGAAAAATAACATTCCAAACTTGTATGTAATCTAAGACAAAAAGCCTTTCCTACCTTTTTTCCCTCTTGTGGGATATTCATACAGACAATGGGTTTTCTTTTGTATACTTAGCCATTTTTTTATTTTTTAATCATAATTTGCAGAACTTCTGTAAACTACAGTGAATATACCAAAAACCCAAACACTTGAGGAGTTCTATAGGAATCTCTTTTTGCCTTTATCTGTCTTGAATTCCTTTCTCTTGGGCAATTTTTAAATTATACAATATCCTGAAAGAAATAATTCAGGAACAGCATAGGTGCTGGAGATGTATTTTGCCTGCCTTCAAGCAAATTCTAGTTAGATACAAAGTTCTCCATATACAGATTCAAAGCTGCAAATATGAAAAAGAAAAACTTGGTTTTGAAGGGGAATATTCACAAAAATGATGAAAACTCTTATTCATAATTACCTATGAAAACAAGCTTAATTCTTTGCTCATACCTTGAATATATCATACTTACACAACATAAACTTCTATGAAGATATTTTTATATGAATTAAAGTTACTGGTACCACAATTGTTTAATTTTATGTAACCAACAGCTGGAAATGGTTAACCAGCAGTTTTGGGACAACACATAGAGGGCATGTTTCTATTGCCAAATTAACTAAAATTAATGCTAAGTCTGTATCTTTATTAGTCCAACAGGTTTACAATAATTGTAAATTGTAAGCCTCCAGCTACACTAAACAATTTGTGTTCTCGCTCCCACCCGCCCCATCATCAACATTCTCCCTTTTTAAAAAATTGTGACTTGCCAAACCATGCCATTTAAAATGATTGAGATGGCTTTGTAACTTGAGGGAGATGCGATAACGGAGAAAGCCAGGACAAAACTGGTAGTAATAAAATTAAATGTGATATTTTGTAAATTAGGGCACACTGAATGTCATAGAGACAGTGCGACGGAAGGAAATAGAGCTGGGCAGAAAGTAATGCTGCGTAACCATAACAACCAACCAAGACAGGCTACCCGTTGCTCGAGGAGAGAAGTAGGAGGAGCAGCCAGGGCTGCTGAGGAACGTAACAGAAACTGCTTCCTCTAATGAAAGGTCCCATTCTATTGGCTGTCGTCGAGGCAACTCGCCCCCCCTCCCTCAGCCGCTGAGGGTGAGGCTCCGCCTCTCAATCCGAGTCGCAGAGCGTGAGGCGGAAAAGGCGGGGGGAAAAGTCATGTGATAAGGAAGGTTGTCCTTTTTTCTTTTTTAAAGGAGCTCCTTTTTTTTAAACAACAACAACAACAAAAAAACCTCACGTGATCTGATCCGACTGTTCAAACTGAGGGGAGAAAGGCCGGGTAAGTTTGTAAAGGGGAATATTACATTGAATTTGGAAATGGAAGGAAACTTGGCACGCGCTCGATAAAGACATCCACCCCTAGTTCATTTTAATGGGTCATTCTAAGCGGGGGTTGACTGATCCTGGGGGTCCACTGACAGAATTACCAGCATTACCAGAAACCAGCATTTAGGGTTTAGTCGGAGGCAGTTAAACCTCCCATAGTCATGATTGGATATAGTTCGTATTTTGAAAAAATCAGCCTGCCCTCCTCTGTCTCTTACCAGCCGTATTTGCCTCCGTTCTTTTGCAAGAGGCCCGAGAGAGTTTTTTTTAAAGGGGGGGGGTGTTAAATATAGTTTAGTGGGTCATTTCTAACAATAACCCTGTGGAGCAGGCCGTCCGGTTAAGAATTTTTCTCCCCCGCTTTCTTGGAAGCAGGCGTGGGTAGACAGTAGATCTGCTGGGAGATATCAGGGATTTGTGGTAGAGATTCCTGAGGTTCGGTTGCGAAATGAAGACATCCACCAAAGGAATTTGCAGCTTTTCTCACTGTTTGAATAGAATTCTTAATTGGCCAAGTGTGATTGGACACAACAAGTAATTTTCCTCTGGTGCATAAGCTCTCAGTGTACATACAAACAAGAATTCATAATCATAAAATACAAATCATCATAAATCATAGGTACAACACACTGATAGTCATAGGGTACTAAAGCAATTAGGGTACTAAATAGGGTACTAAAGCAAACAAATCATAATAGGATACTAAATGAAGGATGTTTGGGATAATTGTGAGTTAAAAGTACTTCATCTGGGTTCTAAATTGATCAGTGCCTTTAACAGCATTTGTTTTTCTACCATTCTTTAATTGGTTGATTGATTAATTGATAAAAAATTGTAGATACAATCCTCACAATTCATAAATATAACATAGTGCTGGTCATAGGATACTAAGCAATCAATATAAATCATAATAGATTGGGTTTGAATAGAAACCTTATCTGGGTTCTAAATTGATCAGTGACTTTAATAATAGCATTTGTTTTTCTACCGTGCTTCAGTTGATTGATTGATGAAAATTTGTAGGGCTCTCCCACTTACACTGAGTAACTCTGAGTGGCTTACAAACATTGATAGGCCTTGTGGTTTTTTTTTCTTTAATAGATCCTGTTCTCCTGTAGTTGTATAGGTTTGGTATACCCTCTTTTTAAAAGTAGGTTCTGCAAATCTAAAGTCAGTATCCCCTGTAATTATACATTTTTTCCTTACAGTGGATCTTCCTTATTCCCAGCCATGGGATCCCAGCAGCAATCTTATGCTGATACAGCTCCAATTTTAACCCAGGCAGATGATACTGAAGGTGAAGGAAAAGACGATCCTCAGCCAGGGCACATAGGGAAAGAAGAAGTACAGGCCCTGACAGGGATATCCTCTCAACATGCAGGCCTTATTGTGGGGGTACTCTTTTTTATTAATCTACTGAACTACATGGATCGCTTCACTGTGGCTGGTAAGCATAATGGAATGGTAGCTGAAATTCTTCCAGTTTCTTATTTGAACTGATGAAACGGGCATGTAACTTTTAAAGCAAAGATAAATAGATTCTCCCCATTCCTGGCTTTGATTAGATCATTATGGATGAAGTTGATGAAAAGTACTATCTTTGTATCCTCATTCGAAATTCTGAATTTCTTTTCCCTTGTTTCAGGTGTTCTTCCTGACATTGAGAAATTTTTTAATATAGATGATAGCAAATCAGGACTGCTACAGACAGGTGAGGACTGGTGGAATTGGCCTTGGTTGTCTTTTCTCTCCCTTTTGTAACCATTTATACAATTGATATGGAACAGAGATGGAACATAAAACTCTTTTTCATTTCCTAACAGTTTTTATTAGCAGCTACATGGTACTGGCACCTATTTTTGGTTACTTGGGTGATCGTTACAATCGTAAATATCTGATGTGTATAGGAATCTTCTTCTGGTCTATTGTGACTCTAGGGAGCAGCTTCATCCCCAAGCAGGTATTTATCGGGTGTGGAAGAGGGGACTTCTGGTAAATTTCCAGAAATTATTCTTGAAATTCTATATTTCAAGCTATAAAACTTTTCTAATAGGCTTAGTGATGAGGAATTCCATACATTCAAATGCATGAAGTTTCATAGCAGGCAACGAGAAGAGGAATTAACCCTCTGGTTGTTGCTGCTTTCAAATAGTTGCATTTCTGGCTCTCTTTTAATCGAACCTCAAATAAATTCTCTAAAATTAGAAAGAAATCTTTCTAAGGTTTCCTGTTTTATTGCTGAAGGCACTTTTGTTTTAAGTAAGCAATAAACAAATAACTAAATAAAGTCTAAACAAAGTTAAAATGTTTAATTCATAGCTCACAACCAAAAGTTTCAAGGTTCCTATTGAGTGTATTCTACATTTAAAGCTTATATCTGCTTCCCTATTGTTCATACACTGTTTTTTATCTCCTCTTCAGTTCTTCTGGATGTTGCTACTTACACGAGGCCTAGTGGGTGTGGGAGAGGCTAGCTATTCAACTATTGCCCCCACCATTATTGCTGACCTGTACTTGGGTGACCGGAGATCCCGCATGCTTAGCATTTTCTACTTTGCTATACCTGTAGGCAGGTGGGAACAGCCTGTGCTCTATATTTGGAGGGAGGGTGAAAAGATGGGTTTTTATCTTTGTTGAAAATAAAAAAACTAACATTACTTTATATAGCTTGCATATCCATATCCTAAAAGAGTTAAGCTGATAGTGTTAACTAGCTTTGGTGGATGTTGGAAAACCTGCCAGTGTATAGATTTGAATGCTCTCCTGATTTTTTTCTACAGTGGACTGGGTTACATTGTGGGATCAAAGGTGAAAGATGTGGCTGATGACTGGCATTGGGCCTTGCGGGCAAGTAGAATTTATAGCTACTTTAGTCAATGTTTGTTGTTACAATAAATGGAGTTATTCTGAAACTTCTTTTTACCCACACTTAGACTGCAGCTTTTTCTCCAGTCATTCACATATATTTTTCTCTTTTCAGAATTTTTCACATTGGTTTTTTTTTTTATTATGCCTTTCACAGGTGACTCCAGGTTTGGGAGCCTTAGCTTTGATATTATTGATAACTGTAGTGCGTGAACCACCCCGAGGAGCTGTAGAGACACTCACTGATGCTCCTCTTCATTACACTTCATGGACAGCTGATTTGAGAGCCCTGAGCCACAAGTGAGTCATGTGACAGGGATCTTGCTTTTCTATTTTTTTTCCTGAATTATCTTCTAACCATGAAAACCTCATTTTAATGGATCCAGATCAGTGCAAATACTCATAAATTAGAGTTAAAAACAAGCTCTTTTTTTCATAACTTGCAGGATAGCTAGAAGTGACATGAAATTTTGTCCCTCCAAGTGAAAGGGCCAGTGGATAGGGCTGGATCACTGACATTTCTCTGGGAAACCACTTGGCTTGTATTCGTTTGAAGAATAGGAACTCACTACTCAGTATGAAATTCACAGGCTGACAAAGAACAACAGAGTGCTGTGCTCTACTGGTAGCATTGGTAGGAGATTTCTACAAAATGTCTGGCCAAAGAACTAGGCATTCGTGTATAGATTGTAGAGTATCAGACTTTTTATAATTACCAGGGAAGTGCTGACTACTTTAGTATAGTGATTAAGGTACTGGATACAATTAATTTAAGGCCACCCTTATTCATGAAAGCCTGCCAGATGAATTCGGCTCAGTCACTCGGATCAGCTCATCTCACAGGGTTGTTTTGGAGTAAATAGGCAGGAGTAAAAGATATGTTCACCATTTTGAGTTATACATAAAAAATATGTATATAAGATAGAATAATAGCAGGGAAGTGCTAGTGAGGCTAGTGTGTGGATACTTTTGGAGAGTAGCATTTTTGATGTTTTTTCAGCATGAAAGTAAAGAGTTTTTTAGCATATTTGTCATTTTGTTCAAGCCAATGCTTGATAGTGCTTCTCAGCCTTGTGCTACTCACGTAGCAAGTTGATTACTCATGGCCGAAGATAGTACTTCCCAAACCTTACCCAAAATTGGGTAAAAGCTATTTTTATTTAGATAAGGACAAATGAACCAAATACCCATCACATCAGGGACAATTAAATTCACTTAAAATTGATTTTTTTATTAAAATATATTTGAAAATATCCAAAAGTATTGAGATGAAAATTGATTAAATTACCAATGATATTTTGTTGAAATGACATAAAGATTATTCAGTGATATTGTTTGTCTGGAGTACTGATGATGTTACCTAATTGGATAATGAAATGTCTGCAAGCAAACAACTAAGCTCAGAGAACACCAATCACTCCACAATCTAACCCTGAGCTGCATAAACTGTTTTCTTCTATTGATATTGGTTTTACAATGCAGATAGTCCTCAACTATTCATTCAGCAAACATTTTGAAATCACAGTGGTGCTGAAGGGACTTAAAACTGGTCCTTGAAGTTCAATAAGAGTTTCTAAGTGGTATTGGGTAATGAAGGAAAAAGTTTGGGAAACACTGGCCTAAGACTAATACCATCAGAAAAGTGCTGTAGATGACTTCTAACATGTATACAAGTTGTGTCATCTATGGTCATTTTTGGACAATTTGTGACTCAGTTGTAAATCTTTACTTATGAACACATAGACATATTCTGTTGAGATGACAGATCTCTGACAGCTCAGGTCTGTTACCATTTGGTTCTCTCTGATTTGGTTCTGGGAATTCAGTACATGCTGACATTACTTCTTTGTTTCTTTCTGTCCCCTGATTGGCCAGCCGTAGCTTCGTGTTGTCATCACTAGGATTCACTGCCGTGGCATTTGTAACAGGCTCCCTAGCATTGTGGGCACCTGCATTCCTGTACCGCTCACGGTTGGCCATGGGAAATCTCCCACCTTGCCCTAGTGGTAAGGTATGTCATGCAGACACTGATAGGTGAGTTAACGATGGGAACTGTCTTGTGTCTTGTTTTCTAGTTTAGTTTATGTTTTTGGTCTCTTTTGAAGAACATCATGACAAGTTATTTCTGAGTTCTTCTAAATATTTTGTATGGCTTTTGAAAAGATTCCAGCAATGCTGATTATTTAACCATTTTGAACCATTTCTGATGAGCCTCACCAGGCCATATATAATTATCATCGCAGCCTTATCTTTGGTATTATCACTTGTGTGACCGGCGTCCTGGGCGTTACTGCTGGAGTGGAGATTTCAAGACGCTGGCATCGCATCAATCCCCGTGCTGATCCCCTAGTGTGTGCCATTGGTCTGCTTGGTTCTGCCCCCTTCCTGTTCCTGGCTGTCATCTTTGCTCAGCAGAGCATTGTTGCCACTTATGTAAGTTTCTCCTTGATTTTAATGTAATTGTTGGGGGCACAGGAAAGGGAAATTTCTATGCATGGCATTTCATGGAAAATAATATATCCTTTTAAGATATAATGAAATGATTCTTCTCCATTCTTCCTTGTAGGTATTTATTTTTATTGGTGAAATACTCCTTTCCCTCAACTGGGCCATAGTGGCAGACATTCTTCTGGTGAGATAATGGGGAAGGGAAAACACGTACATTTGCTCAACAAACAGGGTCTGAGGCTTGGAAATTAATAGCACAAATGCATGCCTTTTAAGTAGAAATAGAGAAACAATCAGCAGTAGAGTTATATCACTAGTAACTGTTCTACACTTCACGACCTCTGATAGTTCATGTGATCAATCTCTGATATATTGTTGCAGATAGGTTCATCACTATCTGTGTTTGTTTAATTGCTCATACATTACTGGCAGAAGCACAATCCTACCTATCCACTTTACTTGGTTTTTTCCCCCTTCTGACAAATAGAAGGGCTAGTGGCTCCAAGCCTGTAGAATCGAAATCCCTGACCCTCCTTTGTTTGTTTGTTTATTAAATTTATTTGCTACCTATCTCACCATGGGGCTACTTTGGCTAGCTTACTACAATAAAATGGGGAAACAGATATAAACAATTACAGCTTTATCCTACAGTCATTGATATTTCTTGACAAAGTGTCTCAAATGAAATATCCCCTTTTTCTCTTTGCAGTATGTTGTCATCCCAACTCGCCGTTCCACAGCTGAAGCTTTTCAGATTCTGTTGTCCCATCTTCTGGGTGATGCAGGGAGCCCTTATCTTATTGGTTTGGTAAGCATTTGGATATGAGGCTTAGGCTGAAGTTGTAGAACTGATATTCCTGTCATCTGTTCCACCTCCTAAGCCGCTTCTCTCCCCCCCCTCCCCCCAGTTCTTTCTCCCAATTAAAACAGTTCTTAGCAGATCAAAGCAGTTCACAAAACCTCTTGGAGCTACTGTGTTTCTCCAACAATACGGCCTCCACCAATAGAAAGGTCCAGCATGATTTCTAGGCATGAGGTGAAATTAAGCCCCACCCCCAAAATTTAGGCCTATTTAATTCCCCGCCATTTCTCACATCGTTCGTTAGAACTACATGAGGTGAAGAGAAATGGGGGGAAGGGCAGGGAGGGAGAAAACTTGCCTTTAGGAGCGCCCTGCAGGTCGCCTAGGCTAGAATACCCCGATCTACCAATAGAACATAAGCCAATAGAAGCTCCCTGAGGGCAGAGTCCCCAGCCGCTTCGGGGCGAAGCATGGCTGCCCGTGTCCACTCGCCATTAGGCAGTGTCTTTCGGGCGATGGAAGCTCCCCAAGGGCAGTCACCACCCACTTTGATCGGCCAGTAGAAGAAGCCTCGGGGCGAGTGCACACACACACTCCCCTCACCGCGAGGCTGCTTTTATTGGCCGATAGAAAACGGCCCCGTGGCGAGGTACGTGCGTATGGGCCGCTCCAGGTGGGGGAGGGAATTAAGTCACCCACGAAAAGACAGCCTAGCCATTTTTTCGGGGCTCAAAAAAAATAAGGCCCAGCCTTATTTTGTGAGAAACACAGTACCTGGATTCCAGGCTCTCCTTGTAGTTTCTTTTCAAACTAAAAGTAAACATTCCAACACAGCTTTGTGCACTGTAACCTCCATAGCACTGCAAGGTCACTGTAGATACTGGGCTTTGGGATTGGAATTAATAGATACGATTAAAGCAGGGCATTTTCACATGTCACTGCAAAACTATGCTTTTGTTCTTGAGACAGTGTAGATTCTATACCTATTTTTGTTTAAAGGTATCTAGCAATGTTTCTTTTCCTCAAAATATGAGAGTAATTGAAAATTTGAACTGCTGTTCCAAAATTATGTTTATTTCTTTTATGTTCTGCATGCAGTGGGCTGCTATTGTTCAGATTTCAGATATGGAGTAGCTGAATTTCATAAAACGAAATTCTTATTTTCATATTTTCCATTACAAAGGAAAAATAAACCATGATGTGTGCCTTTTTTGCTATTTATTTCAAGTGGGATGAAATAGCAAGAGAAGCAATAAATAATATTCATCTTCAGTTCTGAAGGCTTTCCATAGGGAAGTTACCTAATAGATTGCATGATTATTGTTTCCCCCCCTCCCCCCCATAGATTAGTGACCAAATCCAGAGCGATCGCCCCGTTTCATTGCTGTCACAGTTCCGAAGCCTGGAATATGCACTTATGGTCTGCAGCTTTGTGGGTGTTATTGGTGGTGGTTTCTTCCTCGCTACGGCTTGTTTCATTCAGGCAGATCGTAAACGGACAGAGCTATATGCACAAGGTAAAACTTTTTTCCTTTGCCTTTCCACAGTTAGAATTAATGCCTCAAGTATTCAGGCTGTTTCTGAATTCAGTGCTATGTCACAAATAAAAAAGTGTACATCCTTTGGTTTTATTGTATACTACACATAAAGGAAGAAGTGCTAGAAGTGCAAAAATGCATCAGCTATCCTGAAATGTTGAGTGTTTGAGAACATTTTCAATGTGGGTTCCTCAGGAGATAATCACTGGTATTGAATAGAATGACCTGGAAGCATTCTTAACCTCGGATGTTTCATCGATGCTCCTGACCAAGTTTTCCTCAAAATCTATAAAGCATTGCATCACATGAATTTCTTTCTTTTTTCCAGCACTGTCTTGACGCTTAGTTCCCTATTTTATCTACTTTATCCTTCTCTTTTTTGTGTGTTTCCTTTCTCTCTCTCTCCCCCCCACCCCACCTTTCTTTTCTTAAAAATTCTGAAAGAAAGAAGAAAATAACTCACCTCAAATGCTTCTACTTGTAACCATTGAAGCAGTAGCCCCAGAACAAAAGTAATGCCAGGGACTCAGAATTGTTGTACAATTGTTTTTGACATGATCAGAACTAGAACTAGAATTTTCTTTGCTAAGCAAGGTGATTAAGTACATCATCGCCAATTTTACCACCTTTTTTGTAATGATTAATTGTTGCAGTTGTTATTTGAATCATAGCGTCATTAAGCAAATCTGGCTCTCCACCTGCCTCTTTTATCTTACCTTTTTCTTTTTATCAGAAGCTGGGTGGGAAGGTCACAAATAGTGATCACCTGATCCTGGGGTCATTTTATTTAGTATATAGCACCCCTGGAACTCTACAACTTTTGTAAATGCCAAGTGCCCAGATTTTGATCGTGTGACAAGAGATGCTGAGAAGATTGTGGGTTTGAGCATCAGTCATAAGTCGTTTTTTTCAATGCCTTTATAAGGCTTGATTGAATGGTTGTAAATGGAGGATTACCAGTATATGGCAATATGTAGCTGTGAAAGAAATAAGGAAAGACAATAGCACTGAAAAAAATAGGAAGGAGAGCTCAGGCATTCTCCTTTCAGAATCTTGTTCTCTTTGGATAAGACCCCTGTGAAGGCAGACCTTAACATGTTCCTTTCCTCACTCCAGGTCAGCTGCACGAGTCTTTGGAAGGGGAGGATCGCATTGTTGTTCCTCAGCGTGGGCGATCAACAAAAGTTCCTGTCTCCAGTGTCCTTATCTGAAGTTTCACCGCAATTCTGCTTCAGTTTTGGAAACTTCAACAGATTTGTATTTAGCAGTTGAGGAAACAGAGAGATAAGAGAGAAACTCTCTTAAAGGCACCAAGGCAGGATTATGGACAACAGGACATGAAATCACAATTTTTTGCTATGTATATAGGACTTTTTTATAAATCACAAACACTATTCAGAGTTGTGTGGTGTTTCTCAGATGAATGAGGGTGAAATAGCAAAAAAACCATCTACTTAATTTCCAACTTTTATTTGGATGATTTTATTTTTATTTCATTTTTTTCCCCTGCATTGTGAAATTCAAAGCAACTTGCAAAAGGTTTACAAAATAACTGAAAAAATCAGTCTTCAATAGCCTTGGGTTTAAGAAAAATGAAATCTTCCAGATCACATCTATGTTTTCATACGAAAGGCTTTTATTTACAGTCTCCCTTCATATATTTTTACAGAATTTTTGGATCTCCATTTTTACAAACCTATGAAATATTCTGATAGAAGCTGACCATCTAGATGCCCCTTGCTTCCCCCACCCCAGGAGAAAACCAGTATTCATGACAAAGTCTGTGTTAGGAGGTGCTCTTAAAAGATCACACTGTAACGTATCAGTTATATTTTACTTGAGAAACTAAAAAGGTTTGCATCTCTATTAAGATGTCATTGTCTACTTCTGAAGTATGAAAACTTGCATGAAAAACATTGCATAAATGGTTGTAGCCTCAGACTCCTATTTAATATTTTTGTTCCTAACTTATCGTTGCTTTTGAACATTGGAATGAATGAAGATGGACAAGGTTTGGATGATTGATATCTTGTTTTGCACAACCAAGTCTTTTTTTGGGGGGGGGTGGGGTATCATCCAAAACCTGATTAGTTTCAGCTCCCTCTCTTACTTTTCAATGCTTACTGTTATATATTACTTGCAGTTCTCCTGGCAATCTGGCTTCTGCTCCTGGCGTTAAGTGCAGGAGTTTGTTTCATTTGTCACTTTGAAGTGTAATGTAGTTGCTAGCTGCATTTTGTCTTTACTTTGAGGAGAAGAAGCTTAAATAAAAAGGCTTCCTGCAAAGACATCAGTGAAAGACAGTGGTTGCACTTTAACTATAGGTGAGTTTTTTAATAATTTGTAATGTAAATGGATTAGAACCATTACAGTCAATTATGGATTAATTTCAGTATGCTTCAATGTAAAATCAAATGTAGAAAAATGAGTTGTAATTGAAATTAATTTCTCCTGGCCTGATATCTTATAAATATTTTGAATTAAATTCAATCCTCAGCCATACTGACCGATCATTATGATACAGCGATAACATTAAGACCACTAGTGTGCTTAAGTCTCCCTTAAGCTGATGGGGAAATGTTACAGTCTGCAGCTTGTGTATTTTCACCTAAAAATTTCATTCCTTTTTTTTCTGTTGTCTGTGTTAAATGCAAACTATTTCTTCATTCATCTGAAAAATGTGGGTTTGGCTTGCACCACAATAAATTAATTCATTTTTAAAAATTTTTGGAGCAACTGTTATTAATTTACATTAGTGGTTTCTTCTCAGATATTAGAGGTGGGAATAATTTGTTATCAGATTAGATAAGGTAACTCTTTTTTAACAGAATTTCCAAATTCTCCAAGGCAAAACCATATGAAATTTCATCTGATAGCAAATGTAAAACTTATATGATTATGTGCTTTAACTGGTTTTGTTTATAAACAGATCTTTGGAGTAGTAAAAGCGTGATTGCGATATAGAACTTAAGACTTACGTACCGCTTCATAGTGCTTTACAGCCCTCTCTGAGAGGTTTATAGAATCAGCATATTGCCCCCAATTATCTGGATCCTCATTTTACCAACCTCTGAAGGATAGAAGGCTGAGTCAACCTTGAGCCGGTCAGGTTTGAACTGCAATTCTAACCACTATGCTACCAGGCCTCAGGTCCAAAATCATATTTTCCTTAATGCAGATTTTAGTATATTGTTTGACTTGTTAATCATTTATCACTTTTAAACTTCTTTTCAGTTTGAATGCTGTCTTGACCTTCCTTTGATATCTTGAACTTGAATGTCAATGTTAGTTTTACAGGTGCCTGGTGAACCTTTTACGTGAACCATGATCATTGTGGCTTGCTGTTTTGAATTCCAGGTGGGGTGGGAGAGAAGGGAAAAAGCACAGAATAATGTGTAGATTGCTACAATAAAATTGGTGCAGAAATAGGAGGATATGATTAGTAAGAATGTTTCTGGATTTGCAGTTTGGTGTTGTTTGGTGTAAGTAAGAAACAGCATAGTGTTTCAATTCTGGTAAGTACAACTTTTTACCAAGCTCACTGATACATAAAGTCTTATGAAACAGACTGCAGTTTGCAGACTTTTTATATACAGTAATCTGAAATGCTTAACACTTTTCCTGGACTGAACCATTTTTGGATATTTGAGGGGAGGTGCATGCTAAAAAGTCATTATGCATGTAGCATAATACCAAAATTAAAGGAAGACAAAGTCAGCCCTTCTAAGAATTTAAAAAGATGCAATAGACAACTCTTGTGTCTATCTCATCTTCATAAGTGAATGACACTCTTTTTTTAAAAAAAATTGGATAGTGAGGAGAAAGCCTTTTATATTTCAAAAATAAGCAATGATAAGAGGTATGATTTTCTTTCTCTGCTTTGGGGTTATTTTATGCAAAGAATAGACTTACTATGAACCACTTTGTATACATAAGTAGGATATATGTATTAATAAAACATGAAGCTGCTTTATCATGTTTACTTCGACTGGTGTCTTGTCTTGATTTTACTGTGTATCAGAAGACTTTTTTCTGGAATCTGTAATAGTTTCTCCTCTTCCATTGCCCAAATATACAGTCCAGAAAATCTATTTAGGATTTAATGCTGATAATCATATAAACTTAGCCTTTGTTCTTACAACCATACCTTAATAAAATGGTTCTTGTATTCATATATAATCTGTCTCTTAAATATTTTGCCTCAGAATTCCTATCTGAATATTTCTCTAATAACTTTGTGTCCACTACTGCTTTTATCATTGCTGTCCTACACAAGGAGGCCCAGAACCTTGTTTGAACATTTTATTTTGTTCATCCAATATAAAATCTGATTGAAGCAGGAAGAAAATGCATTTTAGGTTTTTGTTGAAAATCTTCCCTTATTTTCACCATTTTTTGAAGATTAAATGGTTTATTATTTCTTGATGTTTTAAGCCCTCAAAATTTTCTAATTCACAAAAAGAGAATATTTTTACTTTAATACTTTAAATATTTTCTTTAAATTGACTTTTGCCTTTTAATATTTTTTTTATTGGGCAGGGTAGAGATTTACTTTTACAAAAGTATCTCTGTACCCTAATATACTTATCTGCTGGGGGAAAAAATCTGAAAAAAGTAGGAGGGTGCATTTCAAATTTATCACATATAAATTGTTATCTAAGCTTACAAGTGAGAGTTTTTGGAAAGTACAGTAACACTTCCCCACCCCTGATAAGTATCAGCAATCTGAATTATGATGAGGTAAGCGATTTAGGACTTCTTAGGAAATTGGTGACTGGGATGAAATAAGTCTTGAAATCACCCCCTTGTGCTGTGTATATTCCTGAAACTTCTGAATATGGTATTTGTGATTCCTCTTGCTCCCCCCACCCCATGTCATGGTTTAGTGCATCTGCCCTTTGACTTCCTGCTAGTGACGGTAGTACTTCCTTCCTGCCGGAACGATCAAACAGTGCATCATCTCTGCTTCAGCAGACAAGCCTTCATCCAGATGTGGAAATAGAGACCCTAGATGTGAGTTTATTACACAAGAGGGAATTAAGAAAGGGTTGGAGGGAGGTGGAACCGCTGCTGTCACCATTGTGTCGATTACATTTTCTATGATACCAAGCTGTAATTTCTTGGGTTCTTGAGAAAGCAGTGGAATTTCACAAATTGAAGCTTACGAAGTGAACTAGAGCTGGGAGGTAAGAAAGTGGAAACAACATAGGAAATTCTAAAGCAATAGACCATAAAGCAGAATGAAGGGAAAGGAAAGTATGTCTTTTCCCTGTGTGTTTCCTTACTTTCTCTCTTGATACTATTTTTTTCCTACCTTGATCTGCTTCCTTCCTATGCTTCCTTAATTCTCTTAATCTGGTCAAAGTTTGAAAGTTGGTATGTGACAGGCTGTGTTAGTTAAAGGAGTTGTTAAAATGAATGATCCCCTTCAAATTTTAGCCTAGGGCTGGGTGTTCCATGCTATCCTTCCTATATTATGCTTCTTCCCAGTTCCCACTAACAAGCTCTCTTTGCAATGATGGTGATGGACCCCTAAGATTATAGCTCTCTTTACCTGATGCCAGAGCTCCAGTCAAGTGCGTTAAAGCCTGAGGGCTGAACAGGTGTTTTAAAGTACGGCATTGTATAGTAGAGTAACGGTGCTTTCCACTTCAGAGGTCTTCTGTCCCCCCTCCCCCTCCCTTTTCTCCATTCCAAATACTGAGCTCTCCTTTTTGAATAGATTGCCTCTGCTGCTTTTAAATTTTTTTCTCCCAAGTAAGGCTATCTGATCTTGCAGTTGCAAGGCTGTAACTGCGATCTCTCCCACAACACCACAGAACTCTGCAAGACTGATTTTGCAGGCACCCAAATCCGGTGTTGGTTCACTGTTACTGATGTGACTCATCTCTGGGTCCTCTGCTGTTCCCATACTTTTTTAAAGTTGAAACGAATAGAGAGGATTGAGGTCCTTTCTAAACAAATAAAAAACTTTGGCTTTTCCCCATTTTTTTAAAAAAAATCTCTATGTGGAATAGGCTTAGAATATCTGCAAGATGCAGTTATTATAGCATAATTCAATAATAAGTTCTAGTCTATATCTGGAGGCTGTTTCTTAATCTGGTTCGCCTGTATCTGGGTGACATGCATCTTGCAAACCTCAAGGTCCTTCACCTCCCTTCCCTCTGTTCTTGCTCTTGTCTGCTTCCCACAAGCTCATATCCCAGATTTTCTACATCTTCTGCGTCCTGTTGCCTTCCAATTGTATTGACATGTAACTGCATGTGTAGTCCTCGACTTACAACCACAATTTAGCCCAACATTTCTGTTGCTACGTGAGACGTTTGTTTAGTGAGTTTTGCCCCATTTTACGACTTTTCTTGCCATCATTGTTAGGTGAATTACTGCAGCTGTTAAGTTAGTAACCTGGTTGTTAAGTGAGCCTGGCTTCCACATTGACTTTGCTTCTCAGAAGGTCGCAAAAGGGATCCCATGACCCCCTGTTGATACTGCAACTGTCATAAATATGAATCTGTTGCCAAGTGCCTGAATTTTGAAATGCTGCAGTGGTCATGTAAGAAACGGTCGTCACTTTTTTCATTGCAGTTGTAACTTTGATCAGTCACTAAACAAGAACTAAGTTCTAAGTCAAGAACTATCTGGATTTCTGTTCCCACCAGCCCTGGGTTAATTTAAAGCAGGGATCCCCAATCCCTGGGCTGCTGCCGACTACTGGGCAATGACCCATTCGAAATCAAGCCGCACTAGCAAAGGGTGAGTTTTTTATTTTGACTCCAAATATTGCACCGTTTCGTTGCTACAGGGAATACTAATTCAATAGGAGAGTATGTAGTTTGCACGCAGAAGATTTTAGATTCCATCCTTAGTTCCTCCAGTAGAAAATATTTGACACTTGATGATGCCAAAAATTCTACAGAATGAGAGCAGCCAGATGGATGAACTAAGTGTTTAGGAGCTTGTTTCTCAGTACTGGTGTAGGCCTTAGCAAATACAGCTAGCCCTCCATTTACAACAGTTCATATAGTGACTTCAAACTTACAACAACACTGAAAAAAGTGACTTATAACCAATTTTTACAGATACAGCCTTTGCAGCATCTCCATGAGCATGTGATCAAAATTCAGATGCTTGGCAATTGATTCATATTTATGACGGTTGCAGTGTCCCGGGGTCATGTGATCACTTTTTGTGACCTTCTGAGAAGCAAAGTCAATGAGGAGGCCAGATTCACTTAACATCCAGGTTACTAACTTATCAACTGCAGTGACTCACTTAACAATGTAGCAAGAAAGGTTGTAAAATGGGGCAAAACTCACTAAACAAATATCTCACTTAGCAACAGAAATGTTGGGCTCAGTTGTGGTCTTGAGTCTAGGACTACCTGGATAGACAATTTTGACCAACCTTATCCGCATCTGACTTTTAGCATGAATTCAAAGAATGTAAGTTAAAGACCTTGGAATTGCCTTTTCTCAGCATAGTAAAAGCGTGATTAAACGGGTGTTTTATGGTTTAGTAAGTTGTGCAAAGTCAGCTTGGAATGGCCATCCTACATATTGTGTGCTTGTCTCATCATAATGCTGTAGCCGCCACTAGATCAGCTCTCCTATCATCATCAGCAGCAGCATGTGTTGTATTGGGGATCCAATTCCCAGAACTTTGAGCCAGCCTAACCTGGATATTCAATGGAGTTCGTGGTTAAGGAACTGTTTTTCAACCTCGGCAAGTTTAAGATATCTGGACTTTAATTCCCAGAATTCCCCAGCCAGCCACATTGTGCTAAGGTATTAAATATGAACCTCTCTCCTAATTCAAGTTGCTTTTCACCTTGAAAACTCCATGGGCCAGTTGTAGAATGTAATGGAAGGGAATACCATAGACATCATCTAATTAAGGGGTTTTAGATTTTTTAAGCTATAACAGCTGTTAAAAAACCATTTGTAACTATTTTGATTTTTAGCCCCTTCCCCAAAAATATCTTGATTTCTTTACATTTTTTCTTGGTCTCTTCTCACAAAATTCTTCGAGGTTTTAACAAACCTTTTTTGTAAATCCAGTGTAGGGAAATTATCCAGGCAACTCTCTTGGTTTCTTATTTGTATATTTTAATTATTAAGGTATCAGCCAATTTCTTTTGTACATCCAGTGTAATATCTTTTTCCATGCCATTCTTGTAACCTGTCATTTTTAAATTCATGATCAAATCATTTTAAGTCATGTCAGGTAAAACTTTTGCTTTTCTATAAGATCTTTTAAACACAGTCCATCTATAGAGACAGAGATTCTTAAATTAACTTCTGGATCCATTCTTCAAAAATATGTCCAGTGTTAAAATATTTTGTTTCATTCCATGTTTGTAAGTCAAGCTTCCCTTGTGGTGTTCTTTAATAATATTCTTTAGATCCTTCTAGTTTCCTCTAATGTCCAATTTTAAGTCTTGCCTTTTTAAAATAATTTAAAACAAAAAAAGCATTTTTTCACTGGAATTATTCTTTATAATTAAATCCAAAATCTTATTTCAAATTTAACCAAATCCTTATTTGTAACTTTCTAAAATCAAAGTTTTAATCGTTGTTTTATTTCAGCGCTTGTGATTAAAGTTTTGATTCATATACAGTATTATCTTGGTAGTCAACTGTTTTGAAACTCATCAAATTTGGTACTCAATGCATTTTGATGCAAAAAAATTTGTCCCGATACTCATTGTTTGCCTTAGTACTCAATGCATAAACTAGAACTTGTCGCTGTCAGCTGCCTTGTGACTAGCTACGTTATTCCTTGTGGTGTTTTCTGTC